GTTTTCCAAGAAAAAGAGTATGCATTAAAAAGCTTGGACAACAACCTAGGTTTAGATGAAAAAGAATTCAATCAATTACAACGTGAAGTAATATATCGTTCCTTATTTGAATTTTGTGTTTTTTTGCTAAATTGCTAAATACTATTTAATTAAATATATTTTAGCTTAAACTTCTTTATGTAACTAATCATCCTAACGTTATAAAGTTCTATGGAATCTCACAAAGTATAAAATTTAATTCTAATAACGAATATAAATAAGGCCGTTCAAAATTGATTAGTTGTTTAACATCAATATTTTGAGCCAGGGGAGAGGAAATTTAAAAGAAAAAAAATCCAGAAGTGTTTTCATAATTGCGAGTCTTGTCCCTAAAAAATCGTATTGACAACCAATAAATATGTAGAGCTGATGTGTCTAATTTGTGCTTCTAAGATGACATATGCTGTTGAAACAACTAGAAATAATTTTACTCACGATAAATCATGATTCATCAAGGCCATGATAAAAACTTAAATATTCACTTCCAGGTTTTACTTTGTATACTACACATATTATTTGATTAGATCTCATTGGACAACTTTAATCACTTACGATTGGCTTGTTTAATTAGGAAGGGAGAGGAGAATGACGTTAACAATTATTCAACTTTGAACAGTCTAATCTTATAACAAATTCTAACCAGAAAATCTATATTTCGAAGCACCAACAGGTGGCTTTATGATAGTGCTGCAACTTGCCACTGGCGGTAACCTACGGGAACATTTGCAAAATAAGCAGAAAATTGGCATTTATAAAATTTCATGGACAGAACTCATTCAGATTGCAAAGGATATCACGTTTGGACTAATGCATCTACACGAAAAAAACATTGTTCATCGAGATTTGGTAAGAACAAAAAGTATTCTGATTTTCATCTAAATTAAATTAATGCAATCTTGTACAAATTTTTTAGCATGCAAAAAATATCCTGATGAATGAAGGCAAAGCTTTAATTACGGATTTTGGAATATCAAAACAATTAAATGATACTACTACTTCAAGTTCAAACATGGGAGGAGTACCTGCATATATTGAACCACAATATTATCTCCAATATAGAAAGCCAGATCAAAAGTCTGACATTTATAGTCTAGGAGTTTTATTCTGGGAACTTACAAGTGGAGCTCGTCCATTTCGTTACTTTTCTGATCCACAAATAATAATACTAATTTCACAAAAAAAGAGAGAAAAAACTATTGATAATACTCCCCTAAAATATGCTAATCTCTACAAGAAATGTTGGTCTTCTGATCCGGACCGGCGTCCAACGCTGAAGTATATTTCAAAGGAACTTGAGAAATTATCTATTGAACCAGTTATTGAGTTCATTACAAATGATACGAATCAAACAATTACACAAACTGAATTATATCCCAATGAAGACGATGATTTAGATGAATATAATTATTGCATTGAATGTGAAAATGCAATCGACAGGTATTTATAAATTTATTCATTTATTTTTTAAATCAATGCTTTCGATGATACTTCTCCTCTTAATCAAATGGCTCGTAAATATAAAATTCACGTCAAATGTTAAAATGAATCCTTTCTAAGAGCATGCCATTGGAGAAATTAATGAGATTAAGAAATTTATGCGGGGATTTCTATAGAATAATACTGCTTAATACTTTGACAGATAGGATGTACATTTGAAGATAGTTTACTATAATGTTTTTTTTTAACCTTCCAATAGTTTTGTTCACAACGAATTACCATTAAATGAACGTTCCTTTAGCATTAGCAAATTATCGGCTCAAGATCATAATGATCTCGTATCAATTTCTGATCAGCATAGAATAATTAAGCCTGTTGAATTAGTAAATGGAAATTTGGTAATAGAATGTCCTGTACATTCAAGTCTATTAATAAATAGCCCTCATGAAAATTCAGAAGAATTTATACATATGAGATATACTGCTTGTACAAGCAAGCCAGACACTTTCAATCAAGAAAATTTTACTCTCCGTCAGGCTGTATATGAACCAATGAGACAGACCGAATTATTTATCCTAATAGCTATAAATGATGTAAGAAAATTAAGATCATTAATAATATATAATGGCAATTTTTCTATAATAATATTTTCTATATATTAATAGGAGGACGAAATTATGTTATCCAATACTCTTCACAAAATTGTAGAAAATATTGCTTACCTTTGTTCTCTTTCAGAGTCCCAAACATGGGTACGTATTTATAATTTAAAGGGTTTTTAATATTATTAATAACTTCTTGAATTTAATTAGGGAGAAGACGGATGGAAAAAAATCATTGTATGCATAATTTCAGATCGTAATAAGATTAATAAACGTACTTTATCTTATTTAAAGACACTTGGCGTTTATCAGGATGGCATTGCAAGATCAAAAGTGAATAATAAAACAGTTAGAGCTCATATATATGAATATACAACTCAGATTTCAATTAAATGCTCTAAGGATTCTGTGGATAAAAAAACAACCATTTCAACTCAGATACTTTTTTGTCTTAAAGAAAAGAACAAAGGAAAAACCGGTTCTCATCGGTGGTTTTTTAATGCCTTTTGTCCAATCCTTAACCCAAGAATATGTGTTCTTATTGACGTTGGTGTTAGGCCAGGTTAGAAAATATTTTTATATATAGATTACTTTATTGGTGACATTGTTTATATGGGTAATATGTATAATTTGCATGATCCATCTCAGACTATTTGGCAGCAAAAAGAGACAAATAGAAAACAAAATAATCGTGAATTGTCACTTATCATTAATCTATTGCAGCTATGAAAAAGATTTCATATTTTAAATTTTAATATTTACTTTCATTATAATTTATTATTTAGTCGACAAATCTATTTATTATTTATGGAAAGCATTTACAGATAATCAAGTTGCAGGTGCTTGTGGTAACTTAAATGTCATGAATAATAAAAGTTGGATCAGATTGTTAAACCCAGTTGTTGGCGCCCTGATTTTTGAGAATAAAATGGCTAATATTATAAATAAGCCATTCGAATCAATATTTGGATATATTTCCTATTTGCCGAAGAACTTCTCTGCATATCGGTATTCTGCGCTTCATGATATTACAAATGATATTGAAGATGCATCAAATAATAATAATATTCTCTCTAAGAATGATTATCTTGCTAAGAATAATGTCCTTTGTTTTGATTTGATTTCTAAATACAACTCTTCTTGGGTATTACGCTATGAAAATTTATCCAAAGCTGAAGTAGACATACCTGAAAATTGGTCTGAAATGATTCAGCAA